TGTGTGTGTGTGTGTGTGTGTGTGTGTGTGTGTGTGTGTCCAGATGTGGGCTCCACAAAAGATGTGTGGTATACCAGATCCGGCCATAACCAATCTGCCTTACATCTTCCAGTGAGCCAAAAATATCTGCATTTGAACTTTAACCGCTTATACTCACATTGTGGACTGCATATAGACTATGCACATACAGAGCACACATAGGCATATACAACGAACAGGAATAGGCACCACAATTGAAGACATACGTGTAGTATAGAAGAAATGCAAGATTAGTGACAGACTGTTTCATCAAACTGGCACCGACTCATCAAGAGGCTTTACCCTTGACAGTCCACAGGATCCCCTCACAATGCTTTGAGTCGTAATCAGCTGCAGATCATGTTGTGAATGGACAAACACAGCAAAAAGCATGCAGAACAGCATGGACAAAGCTACTTATAGCAAACCGAAGCGGGCAGGCAGCAAGGCAAGCACGAGTGGAGGGAAGGCAGGCACACAACAACACAGCAAGGCACTCAACACAGTAGCACTAGGCAGCACATAGCAAGGCAAGCGGGCGAGCAGGCGGGCAGGGCACCAACACAGCAAAACACGCAGCAACACAGCAAGGATCAAAGCACATCATCTCCTAGTACATGTATCATCTGGAAAACCCAGCAGACGGTAAGCTAACGCAGGACCCAGAAAGCCACCAGACGAATGTCCATCACAAATGGAAAACACAGGCATGGGCACCCCAAGGATAGCAGCCCCCGTAATAGTTTTGCAGGCACTGCATGCAAACGCACTGACTAAACACACAGAAAAAATGGCAAACCGTACAAAGAAGTTCAGACTTCAAATCGTTGTCACCCATCCAGTATGATTGTCTTCTATCACCAAATATTTCTGAAAACCCTGCATATTCCCGAATGGGCAACCTTTTGCTTACCGGACCCAGCAGTCATGGATGGGAAGAGGCATTGCTACTCTCACCCGTTTGTGGGATGCAGCCAATGCAGATTGGAAGACCCCGGATCACTTAGCTGCAAATTTGTGTGGCTGGATTGTGAGCGATGAGCATCAGAAGTGTGACAGTCAGTCTGTTGCAGAGAGAGAAAGAGAGGAGAGAGAGAGAGAAAGGGGAGGCGGAGAGAGAGAGAGAGAGAGAGAGAGAGAGAGAGAGAGAGAGAGAG